ATAATACAATATAATATATAATATAATATAATATAATATAATATAATATAATATAGTATAATATAATATAATATAATATAACATAATATAATATAATATGATATAATATAATGCTACCCCTGGATCTTCACTTGGTGGGTTAAAGCATGACAGGCAATCATAGCGGTTGTGCAACTGTGGGCTCCTGGCGACTAGAGAGAAAACGCCGGTGAGTTTGTGTTGTTCTAAATGTTCGATGTAAACTACTACTACTACTACTACTACTACTACTACTACCACTACTACTACTACTACTACTCCTCCTCCTCCTCCGCCTGCTGCTGCTGCTGCGAGTGCTGCTAGTGCTAGTGCTGCTTCTATGTCTACTTCTACTGCTACTACTGCTAGTGCTGATACTAGTGCCGGTGCTAGTGCTACTGGTACTTCTGGTACTAGTGCAAATTAAGTACCAGTGCTGCTGCTACTGAGTGCTTGTAACAAGGTACTGGTACGAATATCTGGTACAAGTGCTGGTCGGAGCATGAGTGTTACGACTGCGACTAATAATCGTACCCTACCCCTTGAACGACGGCAACAGCCACCACTCGTGCTACTTGGGCCGTCCCAGATATCCACCTACCGACTTCCACCAGAGAACTGCCTTCCATCGGCCAATCGACCCTGATCAACCCCAACCTGAAATCCTAATTTCCTAAACTCTAATCCCTAAACCCCAAATCCTAAACCTCAAGCCCTAAACCCCAAGTAATGAACCCTAAACCCTTAGCACTGAGCACTAAGCGTCGCTTACGAGAATCTCTGAATCATTCTGAGATCATCGACTTTGGCCTGGCTTGCCAGTTTGAGCCCGGGGTGAAAATGAGCACCAAGGCGGGGCTGAGTTTTCCATCGTTGAAGGGTTTAGGGTTTAGGGTTTAGGGTTTGGGATCTTAGGATGTAGAGGGCTGGTTTCGTTGGGAGGCAGGGTTTAGGGGGTTTTGGGTGCTTCGGGTGGGGGATTCTGGGAGTGGCACTTCCCAACGCATGCAGGCCGGCACAGCCTACTACGTCGCCCCGGAGGCAGGGTCACAAGCAAGTAGGTGTTTTTCCCGAATTGATTTAACTAGGTGGGTTCTTATTACAAGAAGTCCTGTTGCCATTGGTTGCTTGTTTTACACAGGACAGGCTCCGAGTCAGCAGGAACCAGTACCAGACTTGCTTAGCTGGGAAGCCGGGAGAGGTCCTCAAAGGAGGCTACGACGAAAAGTGCGCCCGCCTCAGACTGGCTGCTGTTCCTTTTGGAAAACACAACCAACACGTAAAGCTGGAGATCTTGGACTCCTAAGCCTTTTTTGGGGCTGCTATGCTTCGAAGCACACCAACTGCAGCAATACTGCGCGACGGTGTCAAGTCCGCGTAGAATCGTGAGGTATAGGGCGACTAAAGCGTTGACCGTGTGCTTCAAGGTTGTCATGCTACAGCAATTGCCGCGTTCCCATAAGCCCACAAAGTTCCAGCAATGCTGCTGCTGCTGCCGCGGCTGCTGCTGCTGCTGCTGCTGCTGCTGCTGCCGCACGGTTCTGTGCGCCGTTTTGCACACAGCCCGGCGATAATCTCAAGCACGACCGCTGCAGCAGCTGACTGCTGTTGCTGCTGTCGGCACAAAGCTCGGCGAAATTATCACGCACGAATGCTGCAGCAGCTGATGCTGTTGCTGCTGTCGTGAAGTTGCCCGATGCTGCTGTCAGTGTTGCACGCAGCAACCCTGCCAAGAGATCCCTTGTTCCATGGTGTGCGCCTCAGTCTTCGTGGAGATATCTGACTGAGACGGAGCAAACCACAGCAAGTTTGCAGGTTTGTCAGTTGTCCATGCGACTTGACATTAAATTTGTTCCGCAGTCTATGTGAAGATGTGAACAGGGATATTTGACATTCGTCATGAATCGATCCAGGCGATGTGTGGAGTGCCGGGGCCGGTGCACTCAGTATGAACCCACTTGACAGAACTTTTCTGTGCGTTTCAGGCAATGCATTTGTTGGGCTTGGGGCTTGTGCTTTACATTATGGCATTCAGTTTCTTCCGAGCGAAGTCACAGCGCTGCAAGATGCTGAGTGACGGAATGATTCGGATCCTCCTTGGGCTTACCTTTTGGCCTTAATGCTAAGCTCGACACACTCGTAACGGCCGAATGGGACCAGACGCAGCGTCCCTGAACACACTGGCGAAGACTCCTAGCGTAGCCAGCCCCTGCTCCTCTCTCCTTTCAACCCCCAGGCCTTCGTTGTTTTGATGCCCAAGACAACACCAGTCCAGGCACAGCGAACTGATTGCAACTAGATCACATGAACAGTTGAGGTGATCTCCTTTGTTCTCCTCTGCGGCTTTCCACCCTTTGCAGGCCAGAGAAGTTCGCGATTTGTGAAAAAATTGTAAAGCTGCGGCCGGGACATGCTGCGAAACTCTTTCTAGTCTTTGTTTTTGCTGTGACCAAGCCGAGAGTCGCAGCTGTTCGATCTGGATTGGGCAGAGCCTTCCAGGTGACAAAGACCCGGAGATCCTCAAGAAGGCCGGCTGACAATGAGAGCCCTGTTTCCCTCGATGAACTTAGTATACTTAGTGACTTCGCCCAATGGCCTGGTGGAGAATTCTCCCATGCCGCACAGGTCAAGACGGGAACCTTTGAGTTTCGCTCGCCTGAGTGGGATCCAATCTCTCAAGGCCCTGGTGATGTGAGATTGAAGCGAGGGCACTCGTAGCATCTGCTTCGTCTCCGCTGGCTCAAGGATCTTCGCTGCGGCCCTTCGCTTGCTCAATGGCTGCAGAAGCTGAGATTATTCATGGGAACTGCCAGAGGCCAGAGTGGGTTAAGATGCTGCAAGCATTGCAGCAGTTCTGGATTTCCTCGTCCATCACGCTGCGCTCCTCCTTCGCATCTATTGACGCGTGCGCTAAAGAGCACAGGTGGCAGAGAGCGGTTTCACTGGCAGACGAAGCCCGTCGCCAGAATCTGGAAACGAGAGTCATCCAGTACAACGCCACGATGAATGCATGTGCCAAAGGCATCGCATGGAAACAAGGTATTTCATTATTCGCAAATGCTGCAGAGAGGGGTCTCCAGCGGACTTCGATCACTTTCGGCACAAGTACATCGGCCTTTTCGAAGGGTAGTCAATGGCAGCTGGCCTGTCACATGCTGCGATCGGTGTTTAGCAACACTATTCCTCGGGGCCCAAACCGCTTCATGCAGAGTGCTGCGCAGACTGCATGTGCAAGTGAAGCACAATGGCATGCAGCCGTGCTGCTGCTGGCTGAGGCGTGTTCTGAAGAGCTTGAACCCAGCGTTGTCCTGTACAACTTGGCGGCTAGTGCATGTCAGAGCGGCAGGCAGTGGAAATTGGCCTGTGCGCTTGTGGGACGACTGATGAGAAAGCATGATGCATGTGCGAATTCTTTCACATACAGTGTCGCCATCAGCCTTTGTGAGGATGGACGGTGGCAACTTGCAGTAGCACTCCTTGCTGAAGCCGAAAGCCATGGAATTCGGATAGACATTGTCACTTGCAATGCAGCCATCAGTGCCTGCGAGAAGAGCCAGCGATGGCAACATGCGATTTCACTATTGTCCTATTCTTTGACCAGAAAGATGCAGGCCACGACGATTTCATGCAATGCTGCGATCAGTGCATGCGAGAAGGCCAAGGAATGGCAAGTTGCCCTCCACCTCCTCCTGCAAGGATTGAAGGCATCACTGGAGCCTACCATCGTTTCCTACAATGCCACGATGAGTGCCTGCGAGAAGGGAGGGCAGTGGCAACTTGCTTTGGAGCTGCTTCAGCAGGTTGCCTCTTGTAGGATGGAGCCTACCATCGTGTCCTACAACGCTGCCATCAGCGCCTGTGACAAAGGCGACCGGTGGCAGCTAGCAGCCTTATTGCTCGGGCAGTCTGAGGAGCAGACCCTGGAAGCCGACGTCATTTCTTTCAATGCGACAATCAGCGCTTGTGCAAAAGCAGGGCACTGGCAGGAGGCAGTATCTCTCCTAGACGTCGCTGTTCGGCGGAGGCTCGGCACCACAATTGTAACGTTCAACTCAGCTCTGACTGCTCTGGAGAAAGGTGGTCAATGGTTTCTGGCATTGGGGCTCTTTGAAGAACTGGCGGCGCTGCGGGCTTCGGCAGATGTGATCTCCTGCAACGCTTTGATCAGTGCCTGCACCCGAAGCGGGGGCTGGGAGAGATCGCTGCAAATGACGAGCGACATGCAGAATCTTTCATTGAAGGGGACGCCCATCACTTACGGTGCAGCCATGAGTGCCTGTGTGAGGGCTGAGCACAACAGAGCACAAGTCCGATCAGGGTGAGGTCCTGACACCTTTTGTGGCTCTTCTCGGCGCCGAGCCAGAATTCAATTACTGCACGCAGCCTTGAATCCAAAATGGTGCTGCCTGGGTTGACTGTGATCCTCATTTCAGGTGGAGACATGCCTGGATGCCGCACACCTGTCAGGGGCGAAGAACCTCATAACGCAGATGCTGACCTTTGATCCTTCCATCCGGCCAACTGCCGAAGCTGAAGGCTCAGTGCGCAACACTGGTGGCACTGTACAAAAAGGTCTGGAATGTTTGCAAATGTTTGGCAATGAGGTCGTGTTGCTGAGTCCGTGGCTCAAGTTCAAGGCCGGTCGCTAGGACTCTCCGCATCGCAAGTTTGTCAACGGTCGGGCTTTGGCAGGGCACGCCGAAGCCGGCGCCTCTGAGCAAAGATTTTGTCACGAGGCCTTCCACGCATCCTCGTGGGCCAGTTCTGCTTCAGAGATGTCCTTATTTGCAAAAGCGAAAAGACTTTTCTGTGGACTTACCCCTTGTTTCCTGCAGTAGGAGGGTGCTGGCAGCCGTCCCTGTGACAGGCTGTCAGGGTTCCGTGCCTTCTCAAAGTTGAAGAAGGTGTGGAGGGCACGGAGAACGCAACTGGGGCTATGCCCGTGCATGTGTTGACACGAACGACGTCAGGTACCATTTTGCTGATGGTTCCATGCCAGTAGTCCGTCGAACTCCTTAGACAGTGTGCCAGGTTGCACTGACGGCACTAGCGCAGCAGTTGCCAGATGCGGCTGATCTGAAAGTGGGGGTGTTGCCTCTAAGCGCGGCCCATGGGGATTTCGTAGAGCCTTCCAGTCAGGCTTTCTCTCACACCATGTGGAGACATTCTCTGATCTCAGCAGCAACAGCTGGACCAAGGAGAAGATAGATGGGCTTCAGAAGACCTTTAGGTCATTGGACAAGCCCCGCCCTTACTCCCAGCTTTGCAAAGGAAGGGTGCGCATGAATATGCGAGCGGCACGAGCATGGCAGAAGATCTTGCTTTGAAGGAATGGTGATGGGACACTGTCCGTCGAAGAAATCCGCGTTCCGAGCCTATGCCTGCTGCATGAGTACGTTCGGGAAACACTGCCTGGAAAGACATGTACATTGCGAACACTTCATTAGAGGAGGCCGTATTGAGGACCAATGTCACAGAACATAAGCATGGCAGGTGCTGTCAGCGACCACAATGGCACAATGACAGAAATTCTCTTACAAAAGCTCAAGCCCAAAGCAGTCACCATGGTCAGAATCATGTGCTGTGCAACTGGTCTGAGGAAGCCATCGTGCAGCAGGGACTCAATCCTCCAAAAGCCTTGGAGGACGTGAACAGTGGACAGATTATCCTTGTTTCTTTTTCAATTATTGTCTTCTATCGATTATTGGAGGACAAAATAAATAAATATATATATATATATATATGTAGGAGTTCTCGCAGTGCTACAGCAAGCAGTTTAGGGTTTAAAACTTTGAGTATTTCGGCATTTCACCAAACCAGCGAGGCTTTGGCATCATTGGGAGCTATGACTCATGACTGTAGTCCCTGGGCTGGTCTCATCGAGGCTCATAAAAAACAGCGACTAAAAAACAGCGACTCTCGCGAATGAAAAGCAAATCAGCAGACAGAGGTTGCGCCTGAGCCTAAAGACCCGGACGCCGAGGAATCTGCATGAAAGGATGCACGAATGTCACTTCTCTGAACCGTCTGAACCTGTTCGTCTGCTTTGTTGTCCATAAACAACTGTGCAATCCGGAAATCGATTCGGGAACAATCCTCTCGAGTTGTGCACAAAGGTGTGATACCCCACTAACTTGGCAAGAACTTCACAGGGTGGAGAAAGAAACGTTATGTTGTGGACTGGCAGAGTTTCCAAGAGCATTTTTCCAGGAGTATTGGGTTGGTCTGCCACTCTTACCGATGATGGCCTGTTGATTTTTTTTTGCGTCATGCTTGTGCAGACCCAGAGCTCTCCGACCCATTCGATGATTATTCAAGAGTCCTAGCCCTAGCACGAAGCCGAAGTTTTCAGTCAAAGCTTTTGAGTGAACTGCTGATCGTCAGGGCGGCTTCACCATGTTTCACCATCCTTCACCACCTCAGATCTCTCCATTGCCTAGCTAGGGCCCAGCAGGGGTGTAATGAACCAAAGCAGGATGCCCCGCACTGCCTGTCCCAAACTGGTTGGATGCAAATCTGCCCATTGCTGCCCTCGTCAGGACATCCTACAAGCGATTGATTGCAATGGTGAGCTGCCAAGTTAACCACGTTTGCGCCGTTTCATCCAACAGCTGCTCAATAGCGGCTGAGGCTCTGGTAGCTTGGACTACACGGAGTTCCTTGCGGCTACTCTGGACCAGAAGGTCTACATGCAGCGGGACCTCTCCGATGCCGTCCTGGTCAAGATTCAAAAGACATGACTTAAAATTCCCCGTGTTGACAGGATGTTTGTTGGGCAGCTTTTCGAATCTTTGACCTGGATGGCGACGGGAAGATTACAAGAGAGGACCGCTGCATGCCTTCGACGGCAGCCGGAAAGCGCGCAGTCTTCGAGCTGCCGTGCGTGCATTCTCTGCACTCGTGCTGTGGCAGGAGCTCGGCAAGGCACTCGCCTCTTTCGAGAGACGATCACGCACATGACAATGACACGTGCGAATAATCCCGTTCCTGCTTATGGCCTTGTGAGAAGCAGGTGCTGAACGGCAATTCCGTGCAGGAGCTTTTTGGCGCGAGCCTACGGCTCAAAGGGTAAAGTTTGGGATCACAGAGCCAGCCTTAGCTCTAGTCGCAACTTGAAGCTGATTCGGCTCTTTCGCGGCAGGGAAAATTGAGAAAATGATCGAAGAGGTGGACAAGGCAGGGTCGTTTTTTCAGTCAGCAGAGGATCTCACAGCCTGCGGCGCAGGATGGCGATGGAGCCGTGGACTTCGAGGCAGATCTACACAAAGCCAGAGGGGCGCCTCCTCGAATTCTCTTTGTTATCCTGTTGCTTCGCAGGAGTTCTGCGCAATGATGTCGACCAAGGCCGGTTGCATCATGCTGGTTGTGGGTGGGCTGCGGGATAACAGATCTGTAGCATTCGCTTGCCACCAAACCAGCGATCGATCTCCTGAAGGCCTCACGTCCGCAATCTGCAGCAGAAGCGCCGGCTAAGCGGCAGCGTGTCTCTGCCTAGCGCCGTGAGGTCTCTTGTTGCCAGTTTCGGTAAGCCAGGCCAGCATCCATCAAACAAGTCTTCGTTTTGGTGAGCCTGTGCCTCTGTCAAGCAAGCAGAAGCAAGGTCACTCGCCGGTGACAGTTGTACAAAACATGGCGCCCCTTACCTGACTCTGCTCCAGAAGTTCTATTTTGTACTATCGTCTTGGTAAGAAAAGATGTGGTGCTGGTGTGGTGAACCTTCAAAAGGACAAACTGTGGGTCATGGCTGGTGTCTAGCTGAGTTCGAAGCAGAGGTAAGATCTGCTGGCCAGTGCTCATGAACGGTCACTGCAGCTGATGCAGATTCAGCTTGCAGCACATCTAGGCAGGATTCATGACATCAGAGCTTCGTGCGATCGAACTACTGCCCTTTGCGTAGCCAGACAAGTCCAGCAGCGTCCTGGCTGTTCCGCACGATAGTCAAAAGGCCGAGCAATTGGAGTGGAGCGCGCCACTCGTTTCAAAAAAGGTCGAATGGTCAACGGCATGTTCAGCTGCCTCAGCACCCTTCCAGTTGGTCCGACCTGAGTCTTTTGCAGCACGATCTTGGTCGGGTAGCAGGTCGTATCGCTTTGTACCTCCGAAGTTGCGGACACGTAATGCATACATACATACATACATACATACATAAATACATACATACATACATACATACATACATAATCATACATACATAAATTTAGCTACATACATACATACAGACAGACAGACACAAATATAAAGGTGTATAAAAATATATATTCCCCCCCCCCCCCCAAAGATCCACCCTTTTTGGTGGATAATTTGGATGGGGAGGGTTGAGACGACTGTTGTGCAGGCAGTCGACCGATTGAAACCGATTGAAGCGATTGAGATTCAATCGGGCACTGGATTCAAGATTCAAGATTCTCAGAAAACTTTTCCTGAAATCTTGAATCCTGAGTCTCCCGATTGAAACCGACTGAAGCGAGTGAATTTCAATCGCGCCCTGGATTCAGGATTCAAGATTATCAATTATCGGAAATTTTTTCCTGAAATCTTGGATCTTGAATCCAGGGCTCGATTGAAATTCGATCGCTTCAACCGGGATTCAAGATTCTGAGAAATCTTTTCCAGAAATCTTGAATCTTGAATCCAGGGCTCGATTGAAATTCAATCGCTTCAATCGGGCTCACGGTTTCTGTGAGCTCTAATAAAGTCTCAAACGTAACTTCGGCACCCCCCCAAGAGTTATCCACCAGTTTCGGTGTAAGTCGTGTCTATTATGCCCCTGACCCTCTCACCTTACTTTAAAGAATACTCTGTACCGTAACCCGATAGCGATAGGGGTAGCATAGATACAGTATATATATATATATATGTGTGTGTGTACATGCATTTCTGTGTTTGAGCCTTACTTTAAAGAACACTCTGTACCGTGAACCCTATTGAGTTCAATAGGCCCTATTGAATTCAATAGGGCCGTCGGATTGAAGATTGAAGATGCCCTGGGAAAGTTTGCTTTTCATCTTCAATCTTCAATCCGACAGCCCTATTGAACTCAATAGGTCCTATTGAATTCAATAGGTCACAGGTTTGGTATGTACTTAAAGCTACTTGTCCAATGAATGCCAAACATGGGAGCTGTATGTGCTGTTTCCTTCTGAAAATTGGTGCTATCGAACCGCTGTGTAATCCGTTGCAAATTCGGACAGCAAATCTTGGTGCTATCGAACCGCTGCGCTTTCCGAAAATGAGATCAGCGAAAGGCGGTTCGATAGCACCAAATTTCATGTAGGATATGTTATCGAACCGATATCCATTGCAAATGCGGCCAACAAGAAGGGGCGGTTCGATAGCATCAACTTTTCCGAAGGGTGTCGTTTCTGAAAGCTTGGTGCTATCGAACCGCCGCGTTTTCCGAAAATGAGATCAGCGAAAGGCGGTTCGATAGCACCAAATTTCATATAGGGTGTATATAAGCTATGTATGGGCTATCACATACATGAGGTATTCCATAAGGTATTCTATAAAGTATTCCAGATGGTATTCTACATCGCATACTGCATATATAGAGGGAACATTATGAAGTAGTCTATAGCGCATTCTATTGGGTATTCTATAGGTTATTCCATACGGTATTGTGCAAGGTATTCTCAGGTGTATATATAGGAAGATATATAGGTCTACAAGGTATTCTATAAGGTATCACCGTATTATATATGAATTTGTTTAAGGTTTGTAAAAAGGGTATTCTGCAAGATATTATATATGCAATGCTCCTAGATTACCGGTTTCTTTCTTAGAAATCCCTTATTCAATAAGCTAACGTTTAATTGGTGAATTCTCAGATCTTGGGCTCCTCCTGATTGTCCCTTTTTTATTCGTTTTCTATAGGGTATACTATAGGGTATCCTATAAAAAGGTATTCTAAAGGGCATCCTAAAAGGTATTGTAGAGGATGTTCTATAAGGTAAATCTAATTTAAGGTACACAGAGGGTATATTGCATAGGCGGTCTTCCGTAAGACTGTAAGGTATTCTACTACAGGGTATTTCTACAGAGCATTCTTTGAGGTATCTTGCAGGGTTCTCCATAAAGTATTGTACAAAAGATATTCTGTAGCCTATATTTAGAAAGGTATTGTGTAGGGTATCCTATACGAAACTGTTTAAAATACATAGAGGGGGTATTCTACAAGGTAGTTGTAGGGCCTTCTATAAGGTAGTTCTAAGGCTATTCGTCTTGGTTCCTGATTTCCTTCATAGGAACCCCGTACCCATAAGCTACAGTTCAACTGCGGACTCTCCGATCTTTAGCTCCGACTGGTTTTCCATATTTAGAATCCCTATCTATAGGGTACTCTATAGGGTGTTCTACAGGGGATTCTAGAGGGATGTTCAGTGTCCAGATTATGTTGGCTTCCTGCGTCTTGTCCGCACAACATGCCCAATGCAATTCATCCAGCACCAGCAGTCGGATTACTCATTGGACAGATATGTAAATAAGCATGCAAATAACGTGTATGTCCACCAGAAATGGTGGATCTTTGGGGGGGAAGAAAAATATATATACATACATATACATACATACATACATACCATTAGCTAATACGTTGCATTGCATTATAATACGGTATGGTATAGTAAGCACAGTATAGAACAGTATAGTATAGTGTCGTATAACTTCATATCGTATAGTAACAGTAGAGTAGATTAGAGCAGAGCAGAGCAGAGCAGAGCAGAGCAGAGTAGAGTATAGTGCACCATGTTCTGGTACCATGTACCGTATTATCACATTATACTATATTATACTACGCTACATCACATTGCTTCACATTAAACTACGTAAATTGCTTGTGGAATGTCCTGGTATCGGTTTCTGCTTGCAACTATCTGGTGTTCTTTGCTCGCAGCGCTTGATCTTGGCTCTCCGGGATGTCACGGTCTTGCTGTGAAGCTGCCCAAGATGTCAGGCGGAGGAGCTAGGGCTTACTTGTCTAAGTGCAGGAAGCATGGGGAGAAGGATAGATGAGGCCTCGCGGAGGTTCGGAGTACGAAGAGGAAGATCCGAGTGATCTGTTCGCCAAGGGGCCAAGCAAACGAAGCATGATCTCTTGATGCGTGCACGGTGAAGAGGAGCCGCTTGATCGCGGAGCGGCTGCAGGTGCGTCTTCTGATTGTGTGGGCTCAGTTCAAGCGGAAGGAACCGGTAATGGTGAACCTCTAAGAACTAGTCGAATCCGAAACTCTACCGAGGTCTCGGTTGTTCTGTGGCATACCGAAAGGATTCAGATCCACTTAACCGAAGGCTCCACGCGATCCTGAGAGTCGTTTACCTCATGAAGTTCATGGGGTTTTCTGCTCACCAAGTGTCCCCGAGTAATGTATGGCGAATGGTCTTTCTTGAGGAAGCCTGGTACTCACAAAAATGCGGTACTGCAGGAGCCTGACGGAGCACGCATTCCTTGCTTGGCGTGAGATTCAAGATAGCCATCCAGTTTGACTCTACGCTACGTAGAGTTTCCGCAAAGACACTGTCACTCAGACTGATCGTGCTACTTCCGTTGTTGCTATTTTAACTGTTTGCATGAGTGGTGTTGTCGGGTCTTTGGTTATGAGTATCCCTACAATCTTCATTTCTATTGCTCGCATGTTTGAGTGGTACGATGCATGTGACTATGGCTGTCAATATTGTTTGTACTAGTGGTACTAGTGTTACTGGTGGTAAAGATGTGACGGGTGTGGCAGCAGTAGCCACAGCAGTAGCAACAGCCGCAGCAACCGCAGCAACAGCGATGCACAGCGGCAGCAGCTTGCTACAAAGCCTCAAGTCTTACCAAACACACACAATCTGTTCATCTCGGCCGCCTGAGCGCACAGAGATCGATGTAGTGTCTTTGCCATAGCCAGGTGTCTTTTGCCGCGAGAGCGACCTAGATCCAATCGGAGCCAGGTGGCCGGAACGAATGGCAGATGAAGACGGAGATGCAGTCGCTTGCTTGACCAACCTAGTTTTCAGGAGAACAGCATAAGAAAGATATTTTGTTTGAGGTAGCTGATCTGCTCGACGAAGCCCTGGAAAGTGCCAAGAAGGAAGCGCTGCCAGTCGCATCCTCGGAGGGTCGCAAAAGTAGCACGAGGCTCCGCTGACTGTCCGGTCCGTGTCATGTGGAATCAGGCAGCACGCCCAGTCTTGTCCGAATCCTAAGGAGCCAAAGAAGGACAAGAAGCAGGATAAGAAGAAGGAGAAGGCAAAAGAGAAAGAAAAGGCTCCTGGGCGTCACAGTTGCGAGCTCGCCCGTCCCGGAACAGTCTTACAAGAAGTTGTGCGCTGAGGAAAAGAAAGACAAGGAGAAAGATGCAGACTTGAACGTGGTGGCTGTCTCTCCGGTTGTCGACGACCAAGTGATATGTGAACAGAAAACCCCCCACCTTTGAGGACAGAAGTCGTAGCAGAAGTCGCGACCGAAGTCGAAGTCCGTTCCCAAGCTTTTTGTCGTTGCACTAGAGCTCGAGGCGAATTGCAAATATCTTTATGACAGAGGCCGTGACCGTGACAGAGGACGTGCAAGCCGTGCCATACTCAGAAAGGCGAGCAAGGAAGCACAACGGGGATTGCACTTTCAACAGCGTGGTTCATTGCAAACCACTGGTTGAGCTAGGCAGCCGAGACCGTGACCGGAAGGCGGGGACTGTTGAGCCCTTCCGCCCTTCAGCTAATGTCAGGGTGTACCGGGTGACTTCTGCGGCATTGACAGGATCGGTCTCGGGATCGCAGAGATCGGTCGCGTGATCGGTCACGTGATCGGTCCCGCGACAGAAGGGACAAGGACATAGTTCGTCGGGCATGAGGCATGTTTCCTCTTGGATGCTGAAGCTCGCTGGAGTTGTGTACAGCAAGCGGGCCAGCCGTTGCTACTAGGTTAGATAAATTGCCAAACGAAACGGCCGTCATGTGCAGAAGATAGGGCGCTGGCATCCAAAGCCTGGCATCGAGTAGGAATCATGCAACATCTCGAGACAGACTCGCATGGACGGGGGGAGTGACGATTGGATGAATGCATCAAAGTGTACAGAAGTTGCACAACTGAAAGCAAGTATACTGTAGGCAAGCAGATGCATCGCTAGATAGCCGGGTAGCCAGATAAGAAATTGGGTATGTGTCTGTACCCATGTGTATGCAGTACAGAGATAGGTAGATAGACACATATATACATAGGTAGATCGATAATCCGTAGTGCATATCTGTATCTATATCTATAGCTCTATTTGTATTTCTATCTACATTCTACGTTTGTATCTATGTCCATACCTAAACCTATACATATGTAGTATCTGCATCTGTATACATATCTTCATATACATCTACACCTGTCTCTATGTCTGTACCTACACCTGTACCTGTACCTTTATCTGTATCTATCTGTGTATGTTTTTATATTCCTATATTTGTACATGTATGTGTTTGCATAAGTCAATGTCAATGTCTATGCCATTGTATGCACGTGTATGTGTATTTGTAATTGTGTATATGTGCGTGTATGTATGTATAGTATAGTCTAGTATTGTATAGTATGGTATAGTATAGTATAGCATAGCAAAGCATAGCATAGCATAGGATAGTGTAGTATAGTATGGTTTCTGCAAAGGTTTATGTGCATAAGTCTGTGTCTATACATACACTTAGGATTATGTGCATGCACGTATGCATAGGTGTGCATGCATGCATGCTTGTAGGTAGGCAGGTAGCTAGGTAGGTATGTAGGGATGTAGGTATGTAACGCAGATATGTAGGTATGTGGGCAGGTCTGTATGTATGCATGCATGC